AGGAGTTTGCTAATGAGATGATGAAGCATTCTGCACGCATTTTTGGTGGCACGGCTGCAGCCGAGGCTGCAGCGCAAACTTGCCAATACGATCGTACTATACGCGCCCTGTTGTAATTCCACGTGCATTTTTTCCTCTTTTCCTCCTCCTCCTCCTCCTCCTCCTCCTCTTGGTCGTCCCAGTGTGACCCACTTGCGCGCCGTTCCCGCGCGTGGTGCCCTTGGCTCCCAGCGCACAAGTACAGCTTCTCACCGGAAACCGACGGCAGTGGCCCAGCGTGTAGCCAAGGCCCAGGCCTTTCTTTTAGCCAGCGTTTATGCCCACGCACCGCTTGGTGTATTGTTTGTCAGTCAGTCAGTCAGTAGCTCCACGGGGAATGGCCTTGACCAGCCAGTCCTCGAGGCTTTTCCTGGTCACCCCCCCAGCTGCTGGCCGCGCGCGCTTAAGGACCTCGGGGGCGGCTTGGATCAGCCCGTCGACGATCTCAAGATCGGAAATGATAGAATCGGTGGCCAGTTCTGGCCACCATGGGGGAGGTTGTGCCAGCGGCAGCACGCTGGGGAAGTTGGCGATGCGGGCCGCCAGCTCCGCCGCTAACTTTTGCGCACGCAGCGCGGCGGACTTGGCGCCCTTCAGGCCTGTCCGCAATTCGAACTGCATGGCGGACATATTCGACCAGAAAGCGAGCACAGGGTTCCGATGAGAAGTGCCCAACTCAAGCAGTACGCAACTTCACATTATCCCCTCCCCCCCCTTCCCCCCCCAGCACATCTCGCCCCCTTCGATAGCAGCGCGGGGGCGCGACAAGAAGACCGCAGCGCGGGGCCAGATGACATTCTGCGCAGTGACCCGAGGATCGAGAAACCCAATGGCGCGCGGTATCGTGCTCCAACTGCACAAGACATGGCTTTAGACGCCCGAAATGGGCACGGAAAGAATGGGTACGATGCCCACCAACAACAAATGTTGTCCCAACCCAACAACGGCCATTGTTGGGCAGGCGGCCTTCTGTCTCAAATGGAGACAGGCCGCGGTGACACCGACAGCGAGTCCTGTTCAAAATGAACAGGAAATGCTGTTGGGCATTGTACCAATTCTTTCCGTACCCATCTCGTTCGTGCCGAACGGCTCAATCTCAAAGGTCTCGCCATGCACCGCCTGGAAGAGACGTCGTTCCCCCGGGGGGTCGGGCCGTGGGAACCGCGGGATCTTGGGCACGGAGCCGCCTGCAAAGGTTCTGAACCAACGCCTGATGCTTCACCTGGACGTCCAGACTCCGATCCGTCTGATGTGGCGACGGCTCAAAGATAATTATCTGGACAAACGGAGCAAGCTCCTGCGAGACCGCGAGACCAATGCGCAGTCAATCATCATGCTCGACCCCAGCGAACAAGTAAACTTCACTCCGGCAGGCGCCATCGCACGAGCGCGCAGAGACCGCGGATATCCTGACATAAGAGCATGGTTTCAGCCTGGATGTGGAAATCTCCAATGAGCACGCAAGGAATCCTCAATGCCAAACGGAACTCGGCGACGCCCCGTCTTTCTTATTCCCCGACGAGGGAGGGAGGGAGGGAGGGAGGGAGCGAGGAAGGAGGGAGGAGGAAGAGGAGGAGGAGGATGAGGAGGAGGAGTGGAGGAGGAGGAAAAGGGAGGGAGGGAGGGAGGGAGGATGAGGAAGGATGAGGATGAGATGATGCTGATGAGCTGACGATGTGATGATAAGATTGATGACGAGACGATGATGATGATGACGAGATGATGTATGATGGATGATGGGGCAGGAGGAGGAGGAGGAGGGGAGGAGGAGGGTGAGGAGGAGGTAGGAGGAGGAGGAGGAGGAGGAGAGGGGAGGTGACGAGGAGGAGGAGGAGGGTGGAGGTAGGAGGAGAGCAGGAGGATGAGGAGGCGGAGGAGAAAGGGAGGATAATGAGGAGGAGGAGGAGGAGGAGGGAAGGTGAGGAGGAGGAGGAGGATGACGAGGAGGAGGAGGAGGAGGAGGAGGAGGAGGAGAAGGAGGAAAAGGAGGAGGAGGAGGAGGAGGAGGAGGAAGAGAGGAGGAGGAGGAGGAGGAGGAGGGAGGAGGAACGAGGAGGAGGGAGGAGGAGTATGGATAATCAGGAGTGAGGGAGGGAGGGAGGAGCAGGAGTATGAGTAGAAGTCAGGCTAGCCAGCTCGAGCGAGTCAAGCATGGCATGCCCAGTCCCACCCGCCCTCCCACAACATAAGAAGCAAAGCTGGCACAACTGGGGGCCGAAGTCACACCGGCCAGCCGGTTTGGTACAGCTGATGCGGCCGCGATGGCGGTTGCCGACGGGAACTGGCGAGCGCGTGTTGAATGCCGCGCACGCATTGCCAGACGAGTCGAGAATGGCCCGGTACACCGCAGGAAGCCAGAGGTGGCCGGAGGAAGCCCGACGGTCTGACAGGACACCCCAAAGCATTTTTGTGAAAAAGCATTGGGTTTTTGATGTTTTTATGTTGAAATGCTTGCAAAAACACGGTATTCGGTAGGATTCTGACATGAACGCGCGAGTGTGCTCTTTGTAGTATTTTTTGCACAGGATTCGCGGCCTGGGTGCATGACAGAGCATCGCGAGTGCACCGCGCGATGACGTGAAATCGCTGGATTTGACCGAATTCTTAAGATTCCTATGGTTTTCCTATGATTTCAGCAAGAGAGCCCGGGCGGGAAATTTGTACAATTTTTGTGAAAAAGCATTGGGTTTTTGATGTTTTTATGTTGAAATGCTTGCAAACACACGGTGTTCGGTAGGATTCTGACATGAACGCGCGCGTGTGCTCTTTGTGGTATTTTTTGCAATGGATTATCGCCGTGGACGACAGGACGTCCATGTCGAGAGGAAAAAATAAGAAAAATGTTGATTTTGTATTGTTTTTTACAGGTTAGGATGGGACCACCCGGATGCGCCCGCTATCTGCCGGCCTGAGGGGGGAGTAGGAGTATATTCTAATAAGGAATAAGGATAGGAGTAGGAGTAGGAGTAGGAGTACGAGTAGGAGGAGGAGGAGGAGGAGGAAGAGGAGGAGAAGGAGGATGAGGATGAGGAGGAGGAGGAGGTGGAAGAGGAGGGGGAGGAGGAGGAAGAGGAGGAGGAGAAGAGGAGGAGGAGGAAGAGGAGGAGGAGAAGAGGAGAGGAGGAGGAAGAGGAAGGAGGAGGAGGAGGAGGAGGAGGAGGAGGAGGAGGAGAGAGGCGGAGGAGGAGAGGAGGAGGAGGGAGGAGGAGGACGAGGAGGAGGAGGAGGAGGAGGAGGAGGAGAGGAGGAGGAGGAGGAGGAGGAGGAGGAGGAGGAGGAGAGAGGCGGAGGAGGAGAGAGGAGAAGGAGGAGGAGGAGGAGGTGGAGGAGAAGGAGGAGGAGGAGGAGGGAGGAGGAAGTAGGAGAAGGAACCAAGGGAGGGGGATGGTGGGGGGCGAAGGTGGAGGTGTCGAGGCGAGCACCGCGGGCACGCTCGGACGTCGCAACGGACCACCCCAGGAGCCGCCATCGCTGGCGGGGGCACCCTCGGCAAGGGCGCCGGCCCCAGCAGCCTTCCGCAAGGCCCAGACCTCACGAGCGGCGAACATATCCGTATCCGCGCCCTGCGGTCTGGACTCCAAGGCACGCTCCAACGGATACGCGGTCACACTCGGCGCGGAGCATCCGCGAACAAACAGAAACGCCCCGTACCCACGATGCCCGGCCCGCGAGGCCGCTAAGACCTCCGCCGTCCCGACTTGAGCATAACATCGGCCACGACCAAGGCAAGGCAGTCAAGCTGGACGATCAAAGCACGTCGATGCAGCCTGTTGCTGCCAACGGGCCAACTTTTCGTTCCTCGCGAGACTCGTCAAAGTCAGACTGTCTACTGACGATGTGTATTCACAAGGGTTTATGTGAGCATCGACCCAACGCGATCACAAGAAGCCATGATGAAACAACTCAAGGCCCCGACCCTTCCTACCCTAGCCTAGGTTTGCAAGTCTCGACACCTTCCCCGGGTCTGACTTCTCATCCCGAGCCGTCTTGTGGCGGTCCCGGGTTCCGCCAAAGCCCCCCAGAGGCCGAAGCGAATAGTTGGTCCGTTGTGTTTTGTTTGGTCGCTTCGCGATGAGGTCTGGAGACCTCCGACAGACCTCCCGAAATGCGCGGCGGGATTTCTCCAGAACCAACGCCTGCGGGCGGGATCGACCTTTGGGGATCTCGACAGGCGGTGGACATGTATACATTCGGCTCCCCCATTGGCTGCGCAGAAAAAGATGGACCTGAAGAGGGGGCTGGCGCATCATGGCCCTCGGCACGTGCGCGGACGAGGGAAGGCCACGGTGCGCTGGCGGGCGGATGCGCACCGCCTCCCTACGAGCCACTGCCCCGCTCGGCTGCGCGCGAGACTGCCTGCGCCGCGGATCCCGCGGCCCGCCGCCGGCGACACGCCGCGCTCACGCCACGGCCCGGGAGGCCAGGCGCGGCAGCCAGCGCTTCTGGCGCCCACTGGCTTCCAACGGCCAGCTGCCGAGCAGAGCCCGCTCGATCCCTTCCTGGGTAGGAGCGTGCTGGCGGCGTCGTCGCAACGTCATGGACCCGCACCTCCTCGCGCGGTGAAAGAATCACGACGAAGAGGAGCGCATGAAAACTGAGATTTCACAGCCCTGGCCATCACATCGACGCAGCGCTAGTCATTATACCCTCTTGCACGCATCCGACATGTATTCAGATATCCGACGATGCGATTTGTTCAAGGCGCGGTCTCGGCCCCCCTTCCCCCTGGGCAAATTTTTCGCCCGAGAGACGTGTTTCATGGCTTCAAGGCCGAATGACCAGCCCTGGACGCATAAATCGAAGGAACGCACGAGGATTGAGAAAACACATATCGTCGGAGATCTGGCTTTCGGCACCCCACTCGGGCCTGTGGCGGCCGTTCGGGACGATTGAGCACCCTCAAAGCGCCCTCTGGGCCCCGAAAGCTGTTGGACAAACGGGGGAAATTGTACAAATATGCCTCTCTCTATCGAGCTTCTGCTCCCTTAACGTTGCCCCTGCGATGAAGTTTTGGGGGGCCCAACACAGTGAGGTGACAGACCGTGCGGTGACCTCGAAATCTCAAGAGATATCACTACAGTCAACAGGTATAGTAAGGATGCGCGATAAGGATGCAAGGGCCTTGGACGCCCACTTCGGAGCTTTTCGAGCGGGGCGCGGCCAGCGAAAGCGGCGAAGGATGGAACGAGGAGGCAAGGATGCAAGGGTACCCTTGGGAGGGATGCCTATCCTTACTATGCGGGTCGACTGTACACGGCCTGTCACCGCACGACTTGAGGACCCTGGTGGCCCCAATCATTCGAGGCATCCTGGGAAAACGACCCGAGTCCCGAAACCGTGCGGTCACCGCGAACTCCAATGACTCAGTGTTGTCACCGCACCGTTTTTGTCGGGTATTGCTCGAAATGCCCCTGGCCCGAGGTGCCCCCAGCTTTTCATCCATGTTGGAGCCCCTGGGGCTCTCAGGGCCTCGTGAGGGTTGCTCTGGAGGCCGTCTGGACCATCTCAAGAATCTTGGGGGGTATCTTGAGCCGGGGGCACTTCTAGCAACACCTGATTTGGGGGGCTCCCCGAAGGTTTGGGCCTCCCGGACAAACTCTCGAGGGGATCGGCCAAGAGGGGAGCGGCAAAGAGGGGGGCCAGGAACGTAATGAAATAAGAAGAGGTGCCATGAAATCTGGGGAAATATCATGGCTCACGCCATGATATCCACCCCCCCCTAGTCAGCACCCCCCTCTTTTCCGCCCCCGAACTCCCGAGGGGAGCGCCGGCGCGGCCGCGCGCGGGAGTCCCGGGGAGGCACCCGCGCCGGTGCGCCTCGACCTTCGACGGCAGCCGCACGAGCGGCGCCGACCTGGGCCGAAACGGGGGGAGGCGGGGAGGACGAGGAGGAGGAGGAGGAGGAGGAGGAGGAAGAGGAGGAGCAATAGAGGAGGAGGAGGAGGAGCAGGAGGAGGAGGAGGAGGAAAAGGAAAAGGATGAGGAAGAGGAAGAGGAGGAGGAGGAGGAGGAGGAGGCCAAGGAGGAGAGGGAGGCCAAGGAGGAGGAGGGCGAGGAGGACGAGGACGAGGAGGACGAGGAGGGGAAGGAGGAGGAGTAGAACGGGGGGAGGCGGAGGGGGAGGCGGATGGGGAGGGGGAGGAGGGGGATGGAGGCGAAGTGGAAAGATGAGGACGAGAGAGAGGATGATGGTGATGATGGTGATGATGATGATGCTGATGATGATGATGATGAGGAGGAGGAGGAGGAGGAGGAGGAGGAAGAGGAGGAAGAGGAGGAAGAGGAGGAGGAGAAGGAGAAGAAGGAGGAGGCGGCGGCGCTCCACAAGAGTCCGAAGCGATTCGAACTTGGGAGGGCGGAAGCAAGTGCCTACCATCATATCAGCTGCTCGGCACCTCTCGCACGAGGGGCACTAGCGGCAACCCCGTGCACGCACGGGGGTAGCCAGTGCACAGCCTGTGACGACGTGGCTCCACCCTCGCGAGGGTGGCGAGACCAAAAAATGACTTGACACTACCACGCATCAGCGCCATCGAGCAGCACCGAAAGCCAAAACCGCAGCACAGCTGCGACAGGCCAACCCGCAGGCAAGCCGACCTTCAGCGCTTGCCAGAGGAAGCCAAGGCTCGCCCGAAAAGTGGCGACATCGGCCACGTCGAAAACAAAAAAGATACTAGATTTTGAATTCAACACAAACTCGACCGGCCAAAACGTGCGGCCCAGCAAAAAAAACAGGCACGGACGGAGGCCCACAGACAGGGGGGGAGGGGACAGAGGAGGACAGGGAGAGGCAAGGTAGCGGAGCACGGAGCCTTCACGGAGGCAAGATTCACGGCACGTGCCCGGCCAGCGCTCGGCACACGAACCACACGTGGTAAAAAGACAGGGCGGCCCTCTCGAACCACTTGTGGCAATCGACCCAGACGACCCCCTCGAACCACTCGGTGCAGTTGACCCAGACGGCGCCAGCGAACCACTCGTGGCAATCGACCTGCACGACGCACTCGTGGCAGTCGACTCAGACAACTGTCACTTCTGCTCGAGCACCTTCTGCCCTTCCAGCTCAAGATGGCCAGCGGGGCGAAGCCCCGCAAACGCCAACTTCTTCTCCGCGGACTCGATGACGCCTGCGATGATCCGTTCGATCCGCCTTGCTGTCGTGCATCTTCTCCGTTCGAAGCAATCCCACCACGTGCTGAGCCTCCACTGAACCACGCCTGAACTTGTTAAGATACTCTTGAAGAAGCTGCTTGTATTGGCCCTCGCACGACTCGAGCAAGGCAAAGATCGCGGCCGTCAGCTGAGACGAATCTGGCGGACCAAGGCCGCGACCAGTCCGACCCTTGACCCTCGGACGATACTCCTCCGAGCGAGCCTTCGCCATCGAACGGTTGATCGCGCCTTCGACCTGCAGCTCGGTTTCCACCTTGCACGCCGCTGCCAAGAGCCTAATCCTATCGTTCGCAACGACTCCCAGCCTCAGCGCAAGGTCGAGCTTTTGCTTGTCGCCAGCGACCTCCGCCCATCGACGCCCCACTCCGCGCCCTTGAGGCTCGGCAACTGCACCGCCGGGCCCCGCAGAAGAGAACCGGTCCTTCCACGCGGCCAACTGAGGGCCCAGCTCGCGGCGAGGAGCGCGCAATTGACCGAGGCCGCGAGGCCAGGGCGAGCATCGCGAAGCAACTCGATCCATAACAAAAGCGACTGATTCATACACGCCCGCACCCTCGTGCGGTCACGGTGGCAGACGCGTGAACACGCGGGCCCTTGCTACCTCGTCGGTCGCCGCAACTTTGAAAGCACGTCTAGCGAGTTTGGCCCGCGCGCTCTCTGGCTCCTGCGGCCCCGCCCCAGCAAGCGGGCAGGCGACCGGCTCAGATTTGAGCGAGGCCTCGACCACACTCTGAAAGATGACCCTCCCCCACCTCTCGCTAGCAACGTCGCCCCAGAAGCCCCTGGCGCCGAGAAGGCCTGTCTAGCGCGTTGTGTTCTGCATTCGGCCTCAAGTTTCGATCTCCCTTTGAAGCGCGGCGCGCCACCTGCTGAGTTGGCCGTTCTACGCGCCGTGCCCTCAATCAGATCTTTGCCCCCGCGCAACCCCCTCGCCCCGTGCTGCGCGCCCCCCCCTTTCCAGCCGCGCCAGAGAAACTTGCTCGCCCCCGTTCAGGGCCGCGCCCTCCCCGTGGAGCTCTGCGTCCAGATGCGAAAATTGGACCGGGGCACGCGACCCACCTTCCGCCGCGTCTCCCGCTGCCGACGCGCGCGCGGCGTCGCCCGAGAAACTCGAAGCGGAAATGCGGAACAACGAACGAGAAACCTGATGTAGATGCAGCCTTGTTTCCTCCAGCGGAGCGACGTAATGCCTGGGTCATTCCAATTGCGCGATGATGCCCTGAGCGTCTGAGCCCCTGAACCGACGCGCGGCCGCGGCGCGGGCCCCCAGGGGCCAGATGCAAGCCGCCGCGCCCCCTGGTAGAGTGCCCTGGCCAATTCGCTCTTCCAAATCCCCGTCGGCGCATTCAATCGCGACCCGCGCGAAGTCCACTCTCTGGCAGAGCAAGGCGGCCCCAAATTCATCGCAGCGGCCCGACGCATATTCCTTCGATTTGCTGCGATGAACGCTGCGGAAGGAGGCCGTCGCACCGCGCAGCGTCGTGAGGCGACCGATCTCGGAGCCATGCAGTCCTCCTCCCGCCCCCTACCGGAACGTAGCCGAATGACGGTGGCCTGTCGGCGCCGGAGGTGGGCCGCGGGGACAGGCGACAGAGCTGGGCATGGTAAACCTAGCCAAACGGGTCGAACGAGTGCACTGACTTCTGGTCTTTGCACTCGCCCTTGCCATCCAGCTCGTCAAGCGTGAACGCTCGACTCGATGCCGGAGCAGCGGGCCCCCCGCGAGCCGGCGAACGGCGATCCAAGCGTTCGCGATTCATCTCGCGATGCAGGAGGAAAGCCAGCCCTGGATATTGTCATATTTTTCGGGGATCTCGCCTCTCGAATAACAGTCTCCACGCCCCGACAGGGAAGGGCCGCGCGGGCGGAGTGCCGCGAAGACGCTCCAACTTCGCATGTCTGCCCATTCGGATCGCGCCCTCTTTCGCCTGATCCATTATCTCGACAGCGAGGGCGGCCCGCGCAGGGCGGGCCAGCCTGCGCGCTCTCTCCCGATCATGCGCCAGAGCTTCGCTGCGCATCCTCCTGGGTGGCCCTGCAGGGTCAGACAATCCTTCCAGGTACTCATCGCGAGACGCGTCCTGGGTGCGCAGAAATTACGCTGCTTCGGCCCTCGACAGTTGCGAGCGAGCTGCCCAGAGAGCTCCCAGCGCAGCGCCATGTCTCCATCTGCCCTGGCGGCCGCGAGCTCGCTGGCCAACGGGCCCGTTATCCTCGCGCGATTTCTTCGCGCGAGGGGGCGAATTCTCCTGTCACGCTGCCTGCGACTCGCGACGACAGCCGCGAGGCAAGCGCTGGGTTCACGCAGCGCACCCCGCGGCCCCGGCGACGCGGGGCGGCGGCCGGCAGACAAGAGGAAGGAGGGGAAGGAGGTCGGCGGGGGCGCATCGAAGGCCTCTGGGAGCCGACCGAACGTTCATTCCCTTCTGCAACGCAGCAGCGGCAGCGGGCGGTTTGTTCTCGACTCTCTGCCCCCCAGTTAAAATGCCCGCGCGCAATTTCGCGCGCAGCCGCATGCACTGATTCGCGCGTGCGATCTGAACTCTGCTAACTAAACTCCTGCGCTTTCGAACTTACTGCTCTGAGAGCTCGCTCGACTCTGTTAAGGAACTCCTCCGGCCCCTCCCCGAACTTCGCCGCCCTCGACATCTTATCGCGGCCCCAGGGCACGGGGGCCTGCCTGCTAAATTCATGGCTGGGCCAAGAGAGAAACGCAGCACCAGGGAGTAATGATCCCGCGCCGCAGGCTCACGATGCTCTAGAAATCCCTCGTGCTATTTCCGTTGAAATTCCCATCCTCCTCCTCGTTTCCAACGTATTTATACGACAGTCACCCGCGCAACTTCGCGCTCGCGTCCATCATCGCAATCGGACTGGTCCTGGCGGGGGGGGCGTTCACAAGGCCCTTCGGGCTCTTCCACAACGCTCTGCATTTGGTCTCCTTGGCATTTCGCTACTTAGTAGTGCCGTGGGTTTCGGTCGGAGCGTGGCCTACGATGAAGGTCATATCAATCAGTTCCCCCCTGCATTTCACGACGGCTAACTTGCCTCCCGCGCCTAAGTACCCTGCAATCCAATCAATTGCCATCCTTTCCACTGCTTTGCGATGTCCAGCCACCTGCCTTCCTGCCTGAACGAAAGCACACTATGCGAACAAACTCTCAGGCACAGCATCAGAGAGGGTTGCCCGAGCGCTACACTCTAGAGGGGGAGTGTCAAGAACGCGGCAATGGCATTCTGAGGGCCTCAGGTTGGCCCGCGAATCTGCCCCCTCGGGCCAGGAGGGGCTGGAGGAGGAGGAAGAGAAAGGAGGTGGAGGCGGGAGGAGGACCACTGTAAACCCAAGATCCATCAACCATGTTGGAATAAGCCTTGGCCCCGAACTCCATTTTTCACAGGCTCCTACAAGGGTTCATGTCCACCCAGGGAAATTGCCCCAGTGGAAAACAACCGTTGGAAGATCCCGAAACGAACCAAAACATTATTTTCGGAACTTCAGCGAAACAAATCCGCCGACCTCTCGAGGTTCATCGGCGCTTGAGAAACTTCCCCCTCCCCAACCTCCCACGGGAACCCGGTCCGGTGGATTCGGCGGGGGGGTGGCCCCCGGGATCTGGGCGAACCCGCCAGGGGGGACAGAGGGCCCCAAAACAGGTCATGAGGGCTCCAAGAGGCCATTGG